GATTGTTAATTGTACATTTGTCTATATCTTTGATGTGGTTTGACATTAAACTTGGTGCTATAAATAAAAGTGAAGTGATATGTAATTGATTAATTAATACATATTGCTGAAGTCTACTGAAATCAATCCTAGTCTTATGTTTCTCTCAGCAGCGTTGCAAGGCCTAATTTCAATGCAAGAATGGGCATAACTTGTTCCATATAGCTTCAATTAAATTACTAATAAGACAAGTGCAATTGTTACTAAATATAGCAATTTGAACAAGGTATGACCTGGTTATGAATTGAAAACATTGCATTAACGTAATAAAAATGCAGGTGAAGTGGTTGAGTTATGAACAAGTTCATTTGTTGAAGTTCAGTATAGAGTGAAAAAACCTCCCTCTGCATGTGTGTAGTCTGAAAAACTATCAGTCTTTGCTGGGCCTTATTAAATGTTGATGAACTACGCTTCGTACCGTCACAGCCTAGTAAGTTTTGGCCTTTGGAGCCAGGAGCTATAGTGCAATGATGCCAAGAAGCAGCTTACCTTGATGGATGGGTTCATTATCACCCTCTAACTACAGCTGGACTTTTAGGTGAATTCATTACTTGTGCTGATCAGGGATTACTGTTACATTGACTTAACTGTAGGGGGTCAGCCAATGTGTATTGGGAGGTTTCTGTTTCAGCTCCGCAGTAGGTTCCTTGCAATATTCATGAGCTCTGTGGGGATCAGTGTCCCTGTCTGGTTTTGCTTCTCAAATCACCTAATTTGCGTTATTATACACTGGGCTTGTGTGCATGTTGTTAATGGATATTGTATATATCATGTACTGAATACTTTAATTACGAAACACCTGATGTTTGAATATGTTAAATTCCACATGGACTTTGACTAGGCTACTCCCTCATCCCAGTACACCAGGTGATTCTGGATTTGTACAACCCACAGTAATGGCTTCTTCACAGCTATTATTTTCTTTAAGCCTTCTTCCACTAGTTGTCTGTTTATGGTACCTCTGATCTGGAAACCTTAATCTCTGCTTGTAGATCAGCCGTGAACCTCCTTCTATCTCTGGTATTTAAAATCTTGAGGTATCCGGCACCTGCTTCAACGAATTTTTCTTACCTTCCTTTTTCCCTCATTTTGTAAATCACCTCCAAAAGCATAATTGACCTCACTGAGAACACTTTATGTGTTTCTCTTTGTCTCAGAGAGCATCCAGCATCACTAAGTTACATAATGATTACTCTTTCATTTTCAGTAATTTCTCAATATGTTTCGTTTTGAACTGTCACGGGTCGGTGAGGAGAAGACCCCAAGGCGGAGACAGACACGATGGAGGCTTGCTAATTCTCGCAGTCAGAAGGTCTTTATTAAGACACAAACGTAAACAGTCCAGAGCAGAAAAAACAAATTCCTCAGACCAGAGGTACGGCAGGCAAATCAATACTCCGGCACCAAGTCCTGAAACATTTCAGTATATAACACATAGAGGAAATTAACAACATATGGAACAGGTGCGCAAAAAGGAAACTACAGGCAGGAGAAAAAACCAGTACCGAACAAAAATTTAAGCTGGACCAGGAGCCACAGCCGGGGCTGTGACATGAACAACAACAATAATTCTAATTCTCACTTTTATACCCAAATGTTAGCCTATGCACTGGGCATCAAGCACAACATTTGACCAATAAAACTATCTTTTCAGTTCTGGAATGCAATTGAAGATATACAATTTGTAATCTTAATAGAAAGAATATTCTTTACATTTTCTAAAAAGGTTCTACATGCTGGTTTAAAATGATTATTTTGGTTACTAAATATGCTGTTAGACCGGCTATGAAATAAACCTGAAATTGTGTAGAGTTTAAAAAAATTTAATTTTGTTACCCCTTTATTTATAATCAATTACATTTATAATCATTACATTTAATTAGGTGCCCAGAACAAGTTTTAACACGGCAAGCTCAAATTATCTACACTGTATGCCTCCTTGGAAAGATATATTTTACTTAAATCTGTTGCTGGCATGACTTTAAAGGTGAGAACACAGACAAAAAATGTCAACTTCATTATCTCTAGTTAACAGCATTAATTATTCCATTATATATCACAGCAAAGAGACGTCAAAGCCTTGACCAGAGCTTTTACCATAAAGTCTGTGATCAGCTTTTTTTTATTCTATTTTTTCTTTATTTTTAGTCTTGAAATTGACTGTATAGTTAAAATGCTCAGTCTGTAATCTCTGTCCAGAAGGTGTAAATTGTTGTCCTCAAAACAGTGTCCCTGCTCCCTAAATTGTAGATTAACTGCACTATTTTTGAGTGAAAGTTTGGCTCTAAAACGTCCCAAAATTATGTGAAGCTGTTACTGGGTCTCTCTTTGCCCATATTCAGAAAAAACATTAAATGTTCCCCAAATCCCCAAACTGCTCAAAGACTGTGCTGAGAGACTCTGTGATGGCCCTGTACATTTTCAACCTAATCCTTAGTCTAGTAGAAGTACTTGTCATGTGGAAGACTTCTTATGTGGTTTTGGTTTCTAAACTTAGACACGCTAAGGAGCTGAACCACCAGAGATCTGTTGCCCTGACCTCCCACCTTATGAAGACTCCTCCTCAGCAGTCTTGGCTACAGGGTGGGCACAGAGATCTGCTGTAGTTAGCCTACAGGTCAAACATTGGGTGGATGACACAGTAATCTATTTGATGCACGTGGCTGATTTACCTTGAGACGTCCACAGTCCCTATACGAGTCATGTTCTTTGACTTTTCAAGTGATTTTAATACCATCCATCCATTCCTACTGCAGAGGAGGATGGAGGCATCAGGGGTGGATGGACAGCTGGTATCATGGGCAATTGTTTAAAACAACAATAGGCTAAATTACATTTGGCCCTGCACAGGTACCCCTCAGGGAATGGTGCTCTTACTGCCCCAAAAAATTATTTCTGTATTTTTTCTGGTAACCCATTTTTTGCAATTATAGTTATATATTAGAAGTTTTTTTTCAAGTCCCCTGTCTTCATCCCCACCATGACAGATTTGAATGTTTTTATAAAAACATTTAAAATATTTAACCCTAGAGAATTTTAACTTTTAATCAGCAATTATCTTGATAAGGTGCCTCGTTGTGGATGTTTATAATGTATTGGTAGGGTTTGATTGAAGTGAAATGACGGTATGACAACATGTAGGATGTTGAATGTTGAAAGGAGCAGCTGGCCAGGACTTAATGGCACGATAATATAGTCACACAAATTTTCTGGGCGTTCTATTCAAGTTAATGTGAATAGGAGTCCATAATTCTCATTTAACTATTATCAGACACAAAAGGAGTTGAGTGTTGCAGTACTACCCAATACCTAGTGTGAAGGAAATTCGTTTTTTTTCTGTTTTTCAGGTGTTCCTGGCAAGCAAGAAACTATTTTTGAGCCTTCACTGACTTAATTTTTTTCAGCATTTAACTTTTAACATTGACTAAAAAACTAAAAACACATGTGATCAGTGTAAAAGAATAGTCTGAACAACGATGCTTGAATATGATAATATAAGATTGAATATCACTAAATACTTAAAAATGAACAATCAAAATCCTAAATTTTCCCGTGTGCAAAACAAAAGTCTATATACGTGTGTGCGTGCGTGTGTGTTTGTGTGTATACATATATGTGTATATGTAGTCATTTTTTCATTTTAGAATTTCCCTATGAAGGATGAATAATGCTTTTTTAAATTATTTCTATCTATTATCTGAAAATCACTGACAACAGGTCTTATAGAAGGATGAGTCCTTCCCAGATGGAAAGTCCTCCCAGAAGCCTGTGTAAATATTACAGTATTCAGGCTGTGAATATGTGCAATATGCTGAATTCATAACAAATATTGTTTCAATATCATCATTGGAAAAGCATTTCTTTTTACATTTTATTTGCATTCATTTTTGCAAGTACAGTTATGAGGTGGTTAAGGGTGTCTCCCGACAGTTGTCCAGCTTCTTTTACTTATGATATCTAACAAGTAATCGTGACTGATCATAAGCTGTTTCTAAACTGACCACACTCAAAGTCATAAATCAGTCACAGTGGTCGGTAGATACAGATTTTACCAGTTGATCTAATTAAGTTTAAAACTTTTTCAGGTATAGTTAAATTATGGCAATACAACAGTTACAATAACATGTTGCTATAAACACATACATGTTTTTATAAACTCGTGTTTTAAACGACCTCATCCGCAGAATAGCATATTGTTTCCACTGTGCCTAAAAGCTACAGCTGAAATACCCACAGTTGATACCTATGGGGAGGGAGATAAAAACTTAAATTTTAGAGACTGTCGGGTGTTCCCCTATTTTCCAGCAGATGAACCTTTTTTTTTCTCATTTCCCCTGCGCTTCTTCCCTTTGCTTTGATCTGCGTAGCAGAGCAGCAGTGATGTAAGCCTGCATGGGTCATTTGAAGATCAGCAGCCTTGAAAGGGTTCAAACAAAGTTCATTCGCATATATTAGGCATTCAATATTTCGTTTTCTGTAGCAAAACACGTTGGAAGTGAGCTGCAAAGAGGGATGGTAGCGCCATTTACCATCATGTGCTTTTAAATGCCGTCCATGTTTTTCTTTCTTCTGATAGTGAGAAAAATCTCCGCTTCGATTGGGATTGAGCGCTGTTTTCATTAGCAACAACCAGTGCAGTGCGCTATGTGAAAACATGTTTTTGTTATTATGGGGAGTCCTGTTGAAACGTTGGTGATAGAGCGCTCAGTGGCGGTAAGAGATACCAACAAATAGCTTATAGAAGAGGCGAAAAAGAAAAGCGTTTTGGTCCGAAATAATTCATGATTCCGGTGCGGGACAACGGAGAGGAAGAGAATCAACTCAAACTGTGCCAATAAGAAAGAAGGAAAAGAAGAGAACCGGGGGTGGAAAGGACAGGACTTTGGTGGAGTTGTGTCTGCCTGTGCGGGCGATTTTTATCCAGAACGCACAAGACAATAATTGAAGGCACGGCTGTCATTATGTTTGACTGCATCGACGTGCTGTCGGTGAGTCCGGGGCAGATGCTGGATTTCTACACAACGAGCCCGTCGTCTTGCATGCTGCAGGAGAAAGCTTTGAAAGCCTGCATCAGTGGACTGGCGCACAGAGAGTGGCACCACCAACGAAACGCAAACTGTATGTCAAACTACTGTTCATATACTTTTGTTTTGTTTTGTTTTTACATGTTATGAGATGTGAAAAATATCAAATCTGACCCAGACCAATTGTCACCAAAATGATTGTCCTAATGATAACCAACATGTTGCTGTAAATGGGTCTGAAGGTGGCATTTATAATAATAGCGGTACAACGAGGTGGTAATCCAAGAAGCACTTTTGCTCATTCCAGATTAGTAATAAAAATGGTCTTTTAGACTTTTAGCAACTCTGCAGTTTAAGGAATTAATACTGTTGATTCCAATTCATGAATAGTCAAGATTAATTTTGCAGCAGAAAAAAAAAGTTAGAATTTAGAATAAACTCACTCAATATCTAAAAGTGGAAACAACTCCAATTTACTGATGTATGGTTTATCTTGGATCAGTTCTGAGTCACATATTGAGTAATGTAGAGTGTAAAAACCTTGACTTGCTCTCTCTGACACTGATTTAGATAAATGGTCTTGTGGATTTCCACATGGTTAGTGGTCTGCTGTCAGACCAGGAAATGGCAAAGATTCACAGATGGACTTTCCTAAACAGGAGAATTGGTAGATACATTGTAGGATTTCTTTGGAATAGAAAGAAAACAATTTAGCTGCAGATCTAAGCAGATTCACATGGAACAAGCATTTAAAAGCATTCAATTATGACATGCAATGACAAATTCTACTGAAAATGAAAATAAACAAAAGGGAGAAAGCACTATATGAACCCCTAAATTTATTATATTTAAAATATATCATCGGATACTATTTGCACACTAACTGTATATTGTCATTGTTATATCCCTATTGATAGTGACCAGTTGTAGCAGTAGCTCCCAAAAAAGTTTAATTGAATACACTGCTACTGAAATATTCATGCAACCTTTTGCATAATAATTGCAAAAATGATTATTTTCAACAATAATAATAAATTTGATTTTTTTTGTAATTTAAGATAAACAAATCACGAGTTTCAAATGGGATTTTAATCTGAGACCTAATGTTATCAACTGTTATCCACACAATAACAGGAAGGATTTTATAAAAACTCATGAGTCTGGCAACATGTCAAACTTTCAGGTATTGTTTTCACGTTGAGGAATTCAAGTAGTAGAATTTCTAAGGTTGAAATGCTTTATTGTGTTTATTGGATCTAAAATGATAAAAGATGCTTTGCAACCTGAATTCACAATAATCATCTTTTTTTTAAATCATTTTCATTGAGATTTCAATCAAATAAAAAAAGAAAATAATTTAAAGTAAAACTTGAGTAAAACATTAATTTGTCGGAAATGTTTGAACAAATGATGAACAGAATTTAGGACATTTTGCAGTCATTAGTTCAATTTGTTATATTTTTCAGTTAATAAGATTATTTGTTATATTTGATCGAATTTCTTCATCATTAGAAAAAAAGGTTTTATATCCAAATTGGACCAGTTAAGTTAGTGTTAAATTATTCCAAAATGTTTCACTGTACTTCTTCCATCAGTTTTTTTCATGCTAAAATTAATAAATTCTTTAATCTTGTAAATCTTCTATATCTCCCCAAGCACTTTTACATTATGTTTGGTCTGCAGCAGCATCACGTCATTTTCTCCCCTCACAGATCACCACAATGCATCAGCCTTGACACACATGGTAGGTTTTGGCAGAGGTTATTACATCGGGTGCCCTTCCTGATGCAATCAAGAATTTATCTGGGGTTGGACCTGGCACGAGAACAACTTTTGAGGCTGCATTGTAAGCAGCTGTGGGTTCAATGTCCTGCCCAAAGACACCTCAACATTCTTTCTGTCATTGAACCACCAATTGACAGCAACAGCTGTTCTTACAATTAGGGATTTACTACACTTTAACAAATGTACACACAGTTCCAAGACTGGCATGAGACGATGCTGCTCTTTTTCTTTGCATGTTAGCACAACACGTTTCCTATAAGCCCCCGCTTTATCTTTGAATTGGAATAAAATGTTGTTTATATGGGACTTTTATTTGAGAAAACTTCTCTCAGGGTCATTGAAAATGTTTTTTTGTTTATATATTCATTATGATAATGGAAATCTCATGTGTGTTAATTACTTGCATTAACAACAAACCAAACTATAATGTAGTTTCCATTCCTTTAGGATGTTGATTCAGAATTGTTAAAGTTCTCCTTTATAGACTGAAAGGTGGCTTAAGAAGATACATACAAAATGTAAAGACATTTCACATCAGCAATTTAACGTGCGTAAAATTCATACAAAACCAAAGGACTGTCATGTTGCAGCAGGATATGTATAGTTCAGCTGATGTTTATTTGGGGATAATTGTGGCTTTTTGTATTCCAGATATGATATGATATGATATGATATGGACATGAAAAGGCAATTAGCACAGCTTGCACACCGAGCTAATTTAGTAGTTGTGTGATGTGAAAGGGGGATGGGGGGAAATAAAAAAAGCCATGTACAAGAAAAGTTAAATGAGAGCATTCTGATTGTAGGTATGCTTAATCAATATAATTAGGATGACAAAAAAGTAGAATAAAAAGCCTTTCTGATATTCTCTCTGTATCTTCAAGAGAGGGACACACTTGAACATTTAATCAGCCATTGATCTCAAACTTTAATATTTAATGATAACGAAAAATGATATATCTTTCTTTCATCGTTTTCTCCATTTTGTTTCTATTCTGCATCTTAGATACTTGCTTTTGAGCCTATCTGGTTTTAAGAACTTTTCTCAGGGATTTTGGTCTTTGAAAAGCTCAGGTAGCTGCTCCAACAATATTTCTGTTGCAATGGATGCCAGTGCCAGTGCCAGTGCCAGTGCCAAAACATGCCAGAATTTTTAACAGCAGTCCTTCCAACAAAGCATAGCATCCATACCAGCAAATAAAAATGTTTTGAAAACTTGTGTTTTCATAAATAAATTGACCTAAATATGGTGTTAAAATAGGCTGTACCACCTGGTGAATGCTGATATATACATTGCTTTCTCACTCTATCATTAATCACAGTCCATCAGGTTTCACTCCGTGGAAGTTTTGTATCAGTTAATCATTTTCCGGAAACAATCTGTGATTGCATTGTGTAGCCTCTAGGTAGAAGTAAAAAACTTACTTGGGATGTAGTGTTTGTAGGAATATTCTGGTCACAAGTATATTAATTTCTGTCAAAGACCATTGAAAGGGCAGTCTTTAAGCAGGTCACAGACTACCTTTCACAAAACAAACTCCTTGATACAAATCAATCTGGGTTTAAA